CTCGTTTAGAAACAAATGCCCCTGCAATCAGGATTTAGACCAAACCACAGGACTGCAACATAACTACTAAAGGCCACCGGGGATATACGCGACGCTACTGACAAGATATTACCCAGCATTCTTTATTTTGTATGATTTTAGGAACACGGTAAAAACAATGTGCCATTTTTAGCAAAAAGGGAAACTTTGAGGACCTCTCATATTTGAAGGAAACTCCTTGGATCTCACCTCAGATTTTGAGGGACCTCCTCAAAAATTGAGCAAAATCACACATTTTTTTAGGAGGGTTCCTCGAAATCTGAGAAGCTTCCTAAAACCAAGGGATTTTGTCAAAGTTTTCCCTTTCCCCTCAAAAAATGAGACACTGCATGTACCGTAAATGCATTCCCCCCAGTCCATGAAAATTAAACTAAAATATTATCTATTGGGTACACAAGCATTTCGTTTTTGATGCATTAAAATTATTAAATCACGTCAAAATTCAATATTTCTCTTTTTCTCTCTCTTTCTCTATCCAGAGCTACGCCACTGACTCCGTCGGCGCGGCGGGCCTCTGAGGGTGTGACAGCCAGCTTTATCGTGTCGGTAACAAACGGCGGACTTGTGTCCGATCCCAACAAATCTGAAAGGACGTCCCCCCGCCGGAGCAGCGCCGGAGCCGGGGGGCATAACTCTGCGTTATCGGCGTGCCCCCTGGCGGAGGGCCCCGGAGCACCTCGTTGTCCCCCCAGCCCCGCAATATTTCTGTCCCCCCCCCCCCCTCCCTACCCAGCCTTTGTTCTCTCCTGAATTCATAAACGATGCCCCTTACCACGCCCGAGTTGTTGCTGGCCAGCTTGAAGATGCTGTCCAGCGGGTAGTCCGCCGGCGACTTCGAGGGCGCGTCCCGGGTGGCGGCCCCCGCCAGCGTGATCCACGCGCGAGCGGTCGTCATCGGCGTGGAGCTGAGCGCGTCGGCGACCTGGATCGCCGCCACGGCGGCCGCGAGCAGTAAGGCGCGCATCCCCACGGGTGCCGTCATCGTCGCACTCTCTCGCGGTGGCTACGACGCCGACCTCGTCAGGTCCTCGACGGCATCCTGGTCTGCGCCGGGCACACGGCACACGCCTCAGCGGTAGCACACAATGGACTGCCACCAAGGACTGCTCCCCACCCACTCCCACCTCCTTCCCACTTCAACCGAGCTCCCGCAAGAAAAACGTTATAAGTGCAAGTTGCATTTTTTCCATAAGTGAAAACAAAATTGCATTTGCGTGGAATGAAAAGTGAAATATTGTTCCTGGCAGCAAATCGAATGCAGTGCAGACGGCCGAGGCACCGCTCGCATACGACAAGTTGCGACAAGTGTGTTTGTAATACCGAAGGTAATGGGGAGTGGACAGGTATGTGGTGCTGCTACACACTTAGACATCTCCCTCTCCCTTCTTTTCCCCTTCCCCCTCTATCTCGCCCTCCCCCCGGCTCTATCGCTATCCCTCCGGGGCGTGGCAGCGCGTGGGCCGGGGTGGTGGCGGTGGGGCCGGGGCCAGCACCCATCCGTCCCGCTGAGCCTGATTCAAAGCCCATTCCCTGGCGAGCTATCTGATAACTTAATGCCCACCGCGAGCGGAGGGGGGCGGG